GATTTTCGCATTGAAAAAGAGAGTTTTTGCAAGATAAGAATAGTTTCTACCTTTATTTAGATTTTGTGGTATTTTTAAGGCTTTCAGAAGTCGCGATCGGCTTTGTAAACTCATTTTTTTTTTTGGTTTCAAGAAGCTGTCAGCCTTAAAAACAGTTTTTTTTCGACAAAAACGGCATTACATAGCGTAATCCGATTCAGAAAGGATTTTTATGCAAAATAAAAATATCTCATACTTTTATTTCGATTTTGTGTTATTTTGAAAGGTGTCTGAAGCCTTTGAAATTGAACAATTGAAATTGAAAAAAAAAGAAACAGCGTTGAAAACATATTTAATTGGCTGGCAGCCTTAAAAACCCTTGTTCCACAAAAACTCTGCGCTTTTCAATTTTTAATCGTATCCAGGAGTGTTTCTCGTTTTTATTTTTCTACATCTACTCATATTTTCCTGTCGACCTCGCCCTCCATTGCTAACCCCCGATTTCCCTACATTTTTTGGGGCTTCCAGGTGACCCCCAGGCAACACGAGGAGCAGCGTGGGGTGTGCAATTTGCATGAGGTGACGGCCCGAACGTGCGGATCTTCGCCTCGACCAATCGACCCAACAAATCCACGACTACCATGCGGGAATTACTATTTCGACTCGTCTTTCAAATATTGCTCCTGGACGCGGCTTCCCGGATCGTTCGGCAGCCAGGTAAGAGCTGAGATGTGGCCATGAAATTTGCATATTTTGGCGAGAGAGAGAGGTGGAGAGAGAGAGCTAGAGAGAGAGAGAGAGAGAAAACTTCTCGACCTTCTGAAATTTCGGTGCCGTCTAGGGCCCGTCAGATCGTGGTGTTCTCTCTTTCTATATCTCTCGCTCTCTCTCTCTCTCTCTCTCTCTCTCTCTCCTCGCTCCTCACCTCTTCTTCCTCACTATCTCCTGAGCAACTGTCAAGCCTAGTCGAGGGAAGGGGTCGATGATCTTTTTCTGGTCTCTATAGCAGAAAGGGATAAGCTTGGAACTAAGCCTAAGCCTAAGCCAAAGCCCAAGCCAAGCCCGTCTTCAGAATATTCCTTCACCCGTGGCCCCCTCGACTACCGATCCGTACTCCTCGACGCCGAATCGGCTACCACTTTCGTGGGGAGCTCGAGGGCGTCTCTTCCGACTCCTGGGCCTACAATGTCAATGAGACTTGCGAGAATTAGTATGTAATCAAGACGAAAACAGCAACTGACACAGGGATCAAACCTTACCTGCACCAAGAAGCTGCTCAGCGTGTCGCCCAGCGAGCTCGCCGAGTGCAGGGCGGCCGGGAACTCGGAGGAGGAATGCGAGAATTCGGTGCGGAAGATGTTTTTGAGGTCGGTGAAGCCAAAGGATCTCTGCTAACCTGCCCTTTCCTAAAGAATCTCTGCTAGCTTGCCCATTCTTTCAGAGACCAACGCGAGAGTCTAATGATCTGCTCCTCGTCGGCCCACAAGCCCGAGGTGCGCATCGTTGACGTGAGCCGACTCGAAGACAAAAGCGAGCCCCAGACCATCATCGGTCTCTGCGCCCCGGATCGGGAGATGAACACGACGGCTGTACTTGTTGGTGAGGGTATCACTATCTCTATCGCTATCTCTCTCTCTCTCTCTCCTCTCTCTCTCTCTCTCTATTTCTCTCGCTCGCTCTCTCTCTCATTTTCAACCACACTTTTAGAATATGGTAATCCCGCGTGCCCTAACGGCGGTGTATTCCGGAATCCGGACCGGGCTGACCGGGGAGAACCACCTCATCTACCGGCCGGCCCTCGTCGAGAATGGGAGAGAGATACACCCGTCGATGCGGACGATATACAAGGATGACTCGTGGCTGAATGGTGGGTGGAGAGAGAGAGAGAGAGAGAGAGAAAGAGAGAGAGAGAGAGAGAGAGAGAGAGAGGGGGGGAGAGACTAGAAGGGATTACTTGGGAATTCTGGGGGTGGGCTAGCAGAAATCATTTAGGAATTGAGGGAGCCTAGCAGAGATTATTTAGGAGCAGAAAGGCAGGCGAGCAGAGACAATGTAATAGCTAATTTTGTCCAGAACCCCAATTCGTCGGCTCGTTCGACGTGGGCGATTACGTCTACTTCTTCTTCCGCGAGGTGGCGAACGAGGCGAGTCGCGACATGAAGCGCATCTACTCGCGGGTCGCCAGGATCTGCAAGGTCAGCTGATCGACATCTTCGAGACGTTCAAGTTTAGAAAGACCTCGGCGGGAAGACGGTCATGCGTCAAGTCTGGACGTCGTACGTCAAAGCGCGGCTGAACTGCTCGCTGCCGGGGGATATCCCGGTTTCATTTGATCATATCCGTGAGTTGTAGTCTTGCGTCGCGTGTAGCTTTGCGCAACTTTTCTAATCCTCTAATTTTAGAGTCCGTAGCTAAAGCGGAGTTCGAGGGTGAGACGATGTTCTACGCCGGGATGAGCAGCTCCGACACGGCTTTTGTCTCGTCGGCAATTTGCGTTTTTCAACTGAGGGATATTGATCATGTAAGTGGCGTTTTCTCTCTCTCACTCTCTCTCACTCTTTCTCTCTCTCTGTCTCTCGCTCTCCCTCCCTCTCTCTACCTCTCGCTCTGTTTCGCCCGCTCTCTCTCTCTCTCTCTCTCTCTCTCTCTCTCTCTCTCTCGCTCTCTCTCGCTCTCTCTCTCTCTCTCGCGCTCTCTCTCTCTCTCTCTTGCTCTCTCTCCCTCTCTCTCCCCTAAGCTAAAGGCCCTCGCAAGTCAAATATTCTAGATCTTCGACCACGGGCTATTCGCTGATGACCAAGGTGGTGTTGGCGCCGATCCGAATACCGGCCATCGCCCAGGCACGGTAAGTCTAGCTTCAATAGACTTAGGCTTGGCCCGGTCTTAGTCTAAGCTAAGCCAAGCTAAACCTAAGCCAAGTCTAAGCTACCCTTTAGTGCGTCCCCGACTCACCGTCGCTCGATCCGGAAGCCCTAAATTTCGTACGCAGCCATCTCCTTATGAAGGACCCGATTTCGAGCCAGACACCTATTTTCACGCAAAGGTGAGGGAAAGCTCCTAAAGAATCTCTGCTAGCCTGCCTGTTCTCGAATTACTCCTCTTCAGGGATGCCGTATTCCACCACCTGCTCGTCGACAGCCGCCAGGAGCACAACGTCGTGTTTGCCATCGACGCTCCGTAAGTAGATGAACATACCTGGGCTTAGGCTTAGGCTTGGGCTTCAGCTTGTGCTTAGGCTTAGGTTTGGCTTAAGCTTAGGCTTAGCCTTCAAATACCTCTTTTTCAGCTCGTCACGCCTGTGGCGGCTGGCTCACTGGCGAGACGGCTCGGATTGGCGTCTCGAGACGATCGAGTCCGCCTCCGTACTATCGCCGGTGGGAGGTGTACAGGGGAGCGCCCTGTTGCCAGGAGGTAAATTTTTGTAGTTTGTGCTATCGTAGCGCCGGTTTCTTTAGAATTTCTCTACCTCACCTCCAGAAACGGTGTTGCTCAATTCACGCCGGGAGCCTGTGGCCAGTGGAAGGCTTGTCAGGTGAGAATTTTTGCAAAATGGTCTTTGCTAGCCTGCCATTTCCTAAAGAATCTCCGTTAGCCTGCCCCAGATATGAATTTTTGCGACACGCAATCGTCCCGAATAATTTATTTGATGCTCAACAAGAATTATGCAAAAGTATTTTCGGATCGGGACGATAGATAAGTAGCATGCAGGCCTGCGCGTAGAGCCTCACTTCTTGGCGTAGGCCTGGTGGCCGGCGGTGGAGCCGCCGAGGGCGCGGTAGCCAGCGCCCTAAAAAATGTAGATAACTCTCTCTTTTTCTCTCCATCTCTCTCTCCTTCTCTCTCACTCCCTCTCTCTCGCTCTCAAAAAAATATACCTGAAGCGTAGCTCCGACTTGGCTCGGCGTCTGCGAGGTGCACACCGTCTTGCCACTAAAAAAAAACGATGTAAGCTGACGCTTGGTATTGCTTAGGCTTCGGTTTAGGGTTAGGTTGAAGCTCACTCTTAGACTTAAGCTCACTCTTAGGCCTAAGCTCAGGCTTAGGCTTAGGCTTAGGCTTAGGCTTAGGCTTAGGCTTAGGCTTAGGCTTAAGCTCAGGCTTAGGCTTAGGCTTAGGCTTAGGCTTGGGCTTGGGGCTTAGGCTTGAGCATAGGCTTAGGCTTAGGCTTAGGCTTAGGCTTAGGCTTAGGCTTGGGCTTAGGCTTAGGCTTAGGCTTAGGCTTAGGCTTAGGCTTGGGCTTAGGCTTAGGCATAGGCTTTGGCTTAGGTTTGGGCTGCGGCTTAGACTTAAACGTACTTCCCGGATCCGCCAAGTGACGAGTGGGTATTCCGATCCAAGAATTGAGCATTAGAGACATGAGTCCCCTGGCCTCCCTTCGAGGAGACGTTGACAACGTGGCCCTTGTTCGGCATTTCGGGCAGTTTTCAGCGTGGAGAGCTTGAGAATACAGGAGTTGTTAGTACAGAAGCGTACTGTGGATTCCGCTTCCAGCCTCCAGCCTTTTATACCCGAGTAATTGTGATTATTCGATGTTTTTCGGGACCAGAAGCCGCGTCTAGAAGCGGACGGGAGGCCCGCCCACCTTGGCCAAAAATGGTAGTGTCAGCGAATTTTGTGGCGAAATCTGGATTACGGTGGTGATCTACGGTGTTTTACACGAAATAAAAACTAAAAATTTTAATTTGTGAAATTGCCACTTTTGAAATCCAAATTTATGGCATTTTTCGATTACGGTAGGTAGTACATTTTTTTAGCTTCTATAACGTGATTTTTAAATTAAAAATCCGTAAATTTAGTAAAGAGCAAGTAAAACAGGATTTTTGCGATGAAAAGCAATAAATTAGAAAATTTAATTTTTTACATTTACATATTGTATTCGATTTTTGTAGATTACTGTATTTTACACAATTTTTCTGATATTAGACGTCAAAAGCTTTATTGTATTTTTATATTGCCGTAGTTTTCCACAATTTGGCCTGCTTGCTGACTTGATCAAAACAATGGCCCGACTAATTTCGGACACGTACGCTTACGCGATGTTATTTACAACAAGTTGCCCGCCCGATTTTGATAACGTAATCGAATCCGCAAAACAACCCGGTATTCGATAACGAGATGTTATTCAGAGCATGAATTCCCAGCCCCAAATTTGATCGCGTAATCGAATAGTCTTCCTCTCGTGATCCGAAAATTGTTGTGAAATTGGGCTGAACAGCTCGAAGACGCTGGGAATTTGCAGGGACACGAAAAACACCAAAATATCGGGCTTTCAGTTAGAAAAAATCATTAAACGCCTCCAAACAATTTCTAAACAACATAAATGGCATTTACCCCCTTTGCACAAATTACGACATGAAAATAATGCGGAAAAAATTCATAAAAAGAAAATTCAATTTTTAGCTTAAAAATCGAGAAAATGCTCCGAAAAAAATGCTTAAGAAGCGTAAAAATCTATTTAAACCCGGGAATTAATTACGACACAAAAATAAACAACAAACAGTCGATAAAGATTTCCATAACCATGTTCCAGCCCTGTGCCATCGACCCGTACTGCTCGTGGAACGTCGCCCGGGCGCAGTGCCACCCACGCGAAAAGCTGCACCATCAGAGCCCTGGGTATGGATTTTTGGGGCTATTTTTGCTTCACTGGTCCTTGAAAATTGAAATGTTAGTTTCTTAACCTCAATTTTAGCTGGGTCTCCTCGTGGGCGGGGCGAGGAGCACCGGAGTGCAAAACGGTTGGACGGCCGGTGTTGACAAAGGTATCGTAATTTTTAGTTTGTAGTGTTTGAGATGTGTAATTTTTTTCTAGCTTAAAAATTGTACTCTGTAGCTTATTTCCAAATTTTCAGGCTTTTCCCGGCGATGCTGTCCACCTCGAAACGCAGCCCGGCTCCGTTTGGCTACGCGATGGCGTCCGGATTGAGAGGTGAGAGAGAGAAAGAGAGAGATAGCGATAGACATATAGCGAGAGAGTGAGAGCGACAGAGCGATAGAGGGAGCGTGAGAGCGATTGAGAGATAGCGAGAGCTAGAGAGAGAGAGAGGGCGGGGGAGAGCGAGAGTGAGAGAGAGAACGAGGGAGAGAGAGCGAGAGAGAGGTATTCCTTAAGATCCCCGCCAAACTTCAGCCCGTTCCTAACTGAAGTCTGCTAGCTCACCCTGCCATTTCCTAAATGACCTCTGCTAGCCTAGCCTCCAATTTCCAAAATTCCTCTGCTAGCCTACCCTCTCTTGGATTATATGTCTTAAAGTGCTTCATCTGCCTCTAATCTACTTTATTATAAAAAAGCGGAAATCGCAGCCCAGATGCCAAAAATACAGAAACTACAAAAAGGGGATTTCCGGTCGTTTTCAAGCCATTTGTCGTCTCTCGTTTAATACTTGTCCATCGGTCCATCGTTGCGCCCGTTGTTGTCGTTGTCATTTCCTCCCGGGGTGCGCTTGGCGTAGGCGTGGTGCGTACGAGTAGCTTCACCACGGATCTCGCGCCATCCGTGATTCTGGAAAATATAGAATTTATTGCGAAATCGTCTTCAATTCGATTTCGGGGTTACCGGAGAGAGTGAGAGAGAGAAAGAAAAAAGAGAGAGAGAGAAAGAGAGAGAGAGAGAGAGAGAGAGAGAGAGAGAAAAGAGAGAGCGGGAGAGCGTGAGTTTGAGGGATAGCGAGAGACAGTGAGGGAGAGAAGGTGCGAGAGAGAGCGAGAGAGAGCGAGAGAGAGCGAGCGAGAGAGAAATCTAGAGAGAGAGAGAGAGAGGCGAGAGAGCGAGAGAGAGACAGGAGGGAGAGAGAGAGAGAGAGAGAGAGAGAGAGAGAGAGAGAGAGAGAGAGAGAGAGAGAGAGAGAGAGAGAGAGAGAGAGAGAGAGAGAGAGAGAGAGAGAGAGAGAAATTTACCTGAAGCACATCCCCGACCTCACGCGGCGACTGTTCGGTGCAGATCAGACGGCCGCTGAAAAGCAATCGGTTTTCAGGGCTAGTAAAGTCTAATCCCTTCCATTTTTCTATGGATTTTGACCTTCCCAGTCCCTTTAAAAACACCCACGTCCCTCCACCAAGCGCATCGCGCTCATCCTGCCCCAGAAAAGAGGCGTTGAACACGTGGGTGCCCTCCTGGGCCGGCTTCGCCTTGACGTTGATCACGTGGCTCGGCATTGCAGTAGAATGTTTTTCGGTTGCTTTTAGATTCTAAAGCAAAAATGAGACCAATAAGCTGAAATTTTCCAAGCACGAGACCATAAAGAAAATTTAAGCATTTGAAACTAATCGAAATGAAAATTCTAGTCTAGAGAGTTTTAAAGGTGTGGTGACAGTTCTATTATGGTTAGGCCAAAAAACTTAATAGAAGCATTGCCATATTGGTTTCGGCTTGGGCTTGGGCTTGGGCTTAGGCTTCGGCTTCGGTTTAGGCTTTGCTTAGGCTTAGGCTTAGGCTTAGCTTAGGCTTGGCTTAGGCTTAGGCTTAGGCTTGGGCTTGGGCTTGGGCATAGGCTTAGCTTAGGTTCAAGCTTAGGAAATAGTTAGGCTTGGGTTTAGGCTTGGCTTAGACTTGGTTTAGGCTTGGCAAGGCTTGGATTAGGCTTAGCTTAGGATTCGAATGGAAACCCCGACACCTTTATCCTGCCAAACCGAGCCCCATTTATACAGCTTTTCCCCTGCCGATCGGAACGCCTCGAAAATATTGATGTTTTCACAGCCGATCCCCACCCCGAAAGGGCGCCGCGAGGGCATTTTGGATCAACAGCAGCTGGGATATGCAAATCCTGGGGATCTTTGGGAAAGCGGGCAGACTGGCAGAGATAATTTGGGAGCATTTTCAACCCTTCCAAGTCCCTGTAAGTCCAACTTCAGTGGTCCCCGCACGGCGTTTACCTCCGAATCGGGCCTGGTGCTCTTCGACGTCGCCAAGAAGGACAACGGCGATTATGAGGCCGTGGTTGATGGACGGCAGATTGTCAAATATCGATTGATCGTTGATCATGGTAGGTTTACTTAGGTTTGGCTTAGGCTTAGGGGTGGGCTTAGGCTTTGCTTGGCTTGGCTTCCCTGGACTTGGCTTGGCCTAGCTTAGCCTTAGCTTAGGCTTAGCTTAGGCTTAGCTTAGACTTGGGCTCGGACTTCAAAAATAGTGCAGAAGTTCTAAAACGCACCAAAAATCTCGCAAAATATCAACAAAAAGTGCCGGGCAGTAAATTTCGTATTCACCACATAGTCCGGCACAGGAGAAGTATTTTCCCCTTTTGCAAGATGTCAACATCACGCCTAAGCTTAAGCATACGACATATAAACTATAGACTACAAATTGAGGCATAATTCCGCAATTTTCAGAAGACTGTGAGCAGCCGAAGACGATCGAATCGCTAAAGGCTGCCCAGCGACAGTACTGCAAGCGCATGGACGGTCATAAGAGGGCCATGGCTGACTGGCATAGCCAGAAGGTAGGCAGGCTAGCAGAGAATCTTTAGGAAAGGGCAGGCTAGCAGAGAATCTTTAGGAAAGGGCAGGCTAGCAGAGAATCTTTAGGAAAGGGAAGGCTAGCAGCCATTCTTTAGGAAAGGGTAGGCTAGCAGAGATTCTTTAGGAAAGGGCAGGCTAGCAGAGTTTCTTTAGGAAAGGGCCAGTTAGCAGAGATTCTTTGGGAAAGGGCAGGCTAGCAGAGATTCTTTGGGAAAGGGCCGGCTAGCAGAGATTCTTTAGGGGAAAGGGCCAGTTAGCAGAGATTCTTTGGGAAAGGGCAGGCTAGCAGAGAATCTTTAGGAAAGGGCAGGCTAGCAGAGAATCTTTAGGAAAGGGCAGGCTAGCAGAGAATCTTTAGGAAAGGGAAGGCTAGCAGCCATTCTTTAGGAAAGGGTAGGCTAGCAGAGATTCTTTAGGAAAGGGCAGGCTAGCAGAGTTTCTTTAGGAAAGGGCCAGTTAGCAGAGATTCTTTGGGAAAGGGCAGGCTAGCAGAGATTCTTTGGGAAAGGGCCGGCTAGCAGAGATTCTTTAGGAAAGGGCCAGTTAGCAGAGATTCTTTGGGAAAGGGCAGGCTAGCAGAGATTCTTTAGGAAAGGGCCAGTTAGCAGAGATTCTTTGGGAAAGGGCAGGCTAGCAGAGATTCTTTGGGAAAGGGCAGGCTAGCAGAGATTCTTTAGGAAAGGGCCAGTTAGCAGAGATTCTTTGGGAAAGGGCAGGCTAGCAGAGATTCTTTGGGAAAGGGCAGGCTAGCAGAGATTCTTTAGGAAAGGGCAGGCTAGCAGAGATTCTTTAGGAAAGGGCAGGGGGCAGAGATTCTTTAGGAAAGGGCAGGCTAGCAGAGATTCTTTAGGAAAGGGCAGGCTAGCAGAGATCTTTAGGAAAGGGCAGGCTAGCAGAGATTCTTTAGGAAAGGGCAGGCTAGCAGAGATTCTTTAGGAAAGGGCAGGCTGGCAGAGATTCTTTAGGAAAGGGCAGGCTAGCAGAGATTCTTTAGGAAAGGGCAGGCTGGCAGAGACTCTTTAGGAAAGGGCAGGCTAGCAGAGATTCTTTAGGAAAGGGCAGGCTAGCAGAGATTCTTTAGGAAAGGGCAGGCTAGCAGAGATTCTTTAGGAAAGGGCCAGTTAGCAGAGATTCTTTGGGAAAGGGCAGGCTGGCAGAGAATCTTTAGGAAAGGGCAGGCTAGCAGAGATTCTTTAGGAAAGGGCCAGTTAGCAGAGATTCTTTGGGAAAGGGCAGGCTAGCAGAGATTCTTTAGGAAAGGGCAGGCTAGCAGAGATTCTTTAGGAAAGGGCAGGCTAGCAGAGAATCTTTAGGAAAGGGAAGGCTAGCAGAGATCATTAGGCATCCGATTACGCCACATAATTCTCCCACTTTTCAGCAACAATGCCCAATCACGCAGAACGTCTCCGGCAACCCGTTACGATAGGAAAATCGAACCCAAAATGTGTTTCTGCTGTTTTCTATTGCTCATTTTTTAGCTTGACCTCCGTTTTTTGATAATTCATTTACCAACGAGCTCCAGACCAAACCAAAGCTTGGCTTAAGCCAAGCCTAAGTTTAAGCCCAAACCAAAGCCTCCGGCCCCCCTAGTGCCCACATTCCAAATTGACCACTCCACTCCTCTCTGCCTCGCCATCGGGTCTCAAATTTTTCAGTGCATTTTTCTACCAAATCGTTGTTGTGATTTTGTGATGTATTTTCAGTGTGCTTTTCTACGCAATAAACTTTGCATGACATCGATATTACAAGAAAATACACCGAATCCAACACTCAAAACATCTAGATTTTACAGAAAAACTTAAAAAATTGTTTGAAATTTATGCATAGTAATTTGAGAATAAAAGCTTCAGCTTAGGCTTCAGCCTAGGACTAGCGTTAGGCTTAGGCTTAAGCTTAGGCTTCGGTTAAGGCTTGGGCTTAGGTTCAGGCTTGGGCGTAGGCTTAGGTTAGGCCAGGCTAGGCTTAGGCTTAGGCTTAGGCTTAGGCTTAGGCTTAGGCTTAGGCTTAAGCTTAGGCTTAGGCGTAGGTTTCGGTTAAGGCTTGGGCTTAGGTTCAGGCTTGGGCGTAGGCTTAGGTTAGGCCAGGCCAGGCTTAGACTTAGACTTGACTTGGGCCCAGGCTTAGGCTTAGGATTAGGCTTGGGCTTAGGTTGCTTAGGTTGCTTAGGCTTAGGTTCAGCTTGGGCTTAGGGTGCAGCTTAGCTTCGGCATAGGCTTAGGTCTAGGCTTTAAATCAGGTTCTAGCATAGGCTTGAGCTTAGGCTTGGGCTTAGGCTCACAAAGCTTTGAAAATTTCGTGAAATATCCCATAAATCATTAATGCATCCAGGGATCCAGGTGTGCAGGCACGCGCCAAAAATGCAAAAATCCGCCGGTTTCCCCCCAGAATCAAGGAACACCGTCTCCCATTAGTGCGTCGAGATATCTCTCAGGTCTTTCGCATGCAAATTTGCATCAATTAGTGCGAGAAAAAGTGGTATCAATACCCCGGGGCCACAGCATCGCTGCCAGATTGCCACCTGCCCGTGGGGAAAGGTATAAATATCGAGATTTTCACCGAAAAATCACTTGAAAGCGCTCATACGCTAATTACAACTACAAACCTCTGTTATCTAACCACTATCGTAATTCCAAATCCCAAGCCTTAAAAAGCTACCGTACTCTCGCCGAATTTACCCTAAAAATGAACCGTTTTTGCCGTGATTTTTCCGCCCTCAAGACTGATGTCAAGCCGAAGGTAGGCCGATTTCATTGTTTTTTTTTGCAACATTGTTTCATATTTTTCATTTTTTCGTCCGTTTCGATTTTACTAACAACTTATCCATATCTAGAAAATGACATTTTTGGCTTGAATTTCCATTTAAACATACCATAACCTATTTTTCAGTACAAAACGGTGCGCAGGGACGCGTACGCCGTCGACCGAGGGGCCGTAAAACTGCTCAGGAAATGCTACGGCTTCACGACAACGCTGCGCCCGAGCCACGAGATCGAGAGGATGTCAAGTACGTTTTTACTTTGTTTTTGGGGTCGATTTTCCCTCTCGATTCCTAAATGATCTCTGCTAGCCCGCCCTTCCTAAAGAGTCTCTGCTATTGCATCAAGCTTCTCTGCTAGATTCCTCCGTAAAGCTCAATTGAAATTCAAATTTGTAAGTGTTCACTAGTTTCTCAGTCTCTCTCTTTCTCCCCCTCTCTCTCTCTCTCTCTCTCTCTCTCTCTCTCTCTCTCCCTCGCGCTCCCTTTCTCACTATCTCTCTCTCGCTCACTCTATGTCATTTTTTGCGTACCGTAACCCTCCTCTCTTTTCCAGAGAACAACCTCTACGAGGGTTGGGAGGACTACGAGCGCGACCCGACCAACGAGACGGGCGCCCTCCACCGTTTACGGTATGTGAGGGAGAAGCTCGTCACCGGGTCGCAGCTCCGGGACGTCTTCGGCCCGGCCGACGTCTTCTGCGGGGCTGGCGACTACAGCAAGGTATGTGCTTTGAGTTTTGGCTTATCCTAAAGGGAGTGTGATACCTTGTAATTACCTTTCAGGTCCTGAGCCATCTCCAGCGGAAGCCGGAGAAGCCCCTCGACATCTTGGTTGTCCGACTCGGAGGTACGGTAATTTTTGGGTTTGTAAGGGGTCTGCTAGCCTGCCCTTTCCTAAAGAATCTCTGCTAGCTTGCCCTTTCACCCAGAATCCCAACTTACTAACTCCAATTTTTCAGACCGCCTGTTGCTGAACTTGGCGGAGCCGTGGCGCGGCGACCTCGAGGCCCCGCTCAGCGACGAGGAAAAGTAAGTTTTTTAAAATACGTTTAGAGTTTTTTTGCTATTAAATTCGTATATTTTTTTCAGGAAGCAGCGCATTCTCGGGCAGAACTTGGAGAAGTTCACGACGACCGAGGAGCACTGGCGGGACGTCACACAGGTACGCATTTTTCTGGAGCTTGGGTTTTTGCCTTCACTGGTCCTTTAGTTGGGGTAGGCTAGCAGAGATTCTTTAGGAAAATGTAGGCTAGCAGATACCTTTCTAATTCCTCTTTTCCAGGGGGAAGGTGACGTGAAGAACTTCCGGTACTTCGTCGACGCCGTCTCAACCGGAAATGGGCCCACCATCCTGGTGGCCCATGAAGTGGACCACGTCCACTACGACGGCGCCCGGTCCGTCGACACCAAGACGTTCTGTGCGCCGGGCTTCAATGTGAAGCGCCCGGCCGTGGAGCAGCTGAAAGCGGGACACATCCTCCAATGGGTGAGTGCTTTGAATTTTGTAAGATTTTATTGAGTTTAGATTTAAACATTATTTATTTTTTCAGGTGCTCCGCGCCGCGCCCCTGGACGTGACGCTATGCGTCGGGTTCCACGCGGCCGGCCAGCTCAAGAAGGCCGCCTTCATCCACCCCGACACCATCATGGACAACGACGAGAAGGTGAGTTTTGGTTCTCTCTCTCCCTCTCTCTCTCTCTCTCTCTCTCTCTCTCTCTCTCTCTCTCCCACTCTTTCTCCTTTGAAACGCTGTTCATCTACCATTTCCAGATTCGCCGCAACTACAACGCGGCGCGCGCCAAAGCCGACGACTTCTTCCGGCAGCTGAAGGACCTCGTGCCGGGCGAGCCCTTCTTCAAGGTGACGCTCCGGAGTGGATGCCAGACTGCCACCCCACTACACGTACGTTTTCAGCCATTTTCGACTTCGACAATTTTCTTAATTTTGTTTAAGTTTTCTGAGATGAATTTTTTTATTTGCAACATTTTATAAGAATTTGACTATATAGGTGAACTTCTTGAAGTTGTGCAGCGTTTTTAAGTTTAATAGAAATTTTATTTTAAGTTTCCTAATTTCTAAGTGAACTCCTTGAATTTGAGGAACGTTTTCCTTGGTTTTTATAAAAGTATGCAACTTTTTATTTAATTTGTCAAGCGAACTCCTTGAACTTCAGCAACCTTTTCTTAGCTTCATACATATTTTATTTAATTTCCCGAATGAACGCCTTGAACTTGAGCGCCATTTCCTAAGCTCCGCTTTTTCAGACGCTCACCGACGTGGCTGCGGAGATAACGCCAGTAACCGGGGTCCGGGACGAGCTTGCCGAGCTGTTCAACCAGCTTCGGCAGCTCACCCGCGAGGCTGTACCCCGGTACCGGGCGCCACATCTACGCCAGGGATCGACCTCGTCCAGCTGCTCATCTACCGCCAGCCGAAGCCCGAGCCCGACCTCCTCGACAACGCCGCCGCCCTCCCCCACTTTCCCCACCCTCCGAAAAGCTGCTAACCCCTACCGCCCCCCTCATAAGCGAAACGATTCTGTTTGTTCGGTATCTTCTACATCTTCTTCTTGTTCATCTACCTCTTCCCCCCGCTCCCCCTCCCCGCCCACCTTCAAAACCCCCGCCGGCCCCTCCCCATTTATGCCCAAGTGGTAGAAAGTTGTGATTTTTTGGTATTTTAGTTTAATTTAATTAACTTAATTGTAAGAATTAAGACTATTTTTATGTATTTCTAGGTTTAGTCTAATTTTTTAGGCATTTAAAATAATTTTAATTCGGCTTTCAATTAGACCAATTAGACTTTTCTAAAGTTCTAAATAAGTATTATTATTTACAAGGAGATCGGGGTTTGTTCCGAGCTTTTTTCGAATTTTTACTTGATATTTCGGGTATTTTAGAATTTTCTAGGCTCTAATCTATGTAAAAACATTGTAATTATTGGATTTTGATGTGTTTTGCTGTGCTGTGTTGAATAAACGCTTTTTTCTCTTAAATTTACCGTATTGAGACGGTCGGAATACATACAACAATCAATCAACGTCATCTCAAGGTGTTAAATAAAACGGTCACTTTGGCTAAAGCCGAACTCGACAATTGCTGCCCATTCGACTTTTCCGGCGCCCACGGACAAAGCGCCGATTCTACTGCTGATAAGCTTCGCGAAACGTGCCAGTTTATGTTTTCTTATTTCCTCCCATCCTGTTGCGCAATTTCTCGCCTTCCCGAGCTTTCTCTTCGTTTCTGCCCCACCCCTTCCGGCGTCCAAATTTTTAGGCCAGCGCCATTTTCGAGTCATCTTCTTGACGGCGAGCTCTCCCGTCCCTGGCAAACCCAAGCTATTCAACGGCGTTGCATTAATACCAACAGTTTCTCAGCTGACTACCGATTTGCTATCAGAATGTCGAAAATCCTTATTATGGAAATCTCATTTTTTCGAATCTTTACTTGGCCGAAATTTCTTTTTAGCAAAATGTCATTTTGCCGAAATGCCACAATGTCGAAAATCTGTCGTTCGCCACACCAAACCGACCCCTTTACAATTTGTTAGGGACTGGAAAATAGTCTCGTGGTTATGGAAATTTCGACATGACGAATTGTCGACAAAAAGAAAATGCCTCGTTTCCTGCACGGTGTCTGTCGGTCTGTCTGTCTGTCTGTCTGTCTGTCTGTCTGTCTATCTCTCTCTCTCTCTCTCTCTCTCTCTCTCTCTCTCGCTCTCTCTGTTGTCTTCTCGCTCTCGGTTCCTCTTAAAGGGGCTACGAAATGCCAAAAATTGAGTGACGGCCCGAAAATCGGAGCCCTGTACGTCGGAGGCCTCTGTACGCCCAGGGGCCGGGAAGCTCGCAAAATTTGAAATTGCCTGTTGTCACCTCGAAATCACGTTCTCGGCGGTTTCTGGGCCAAATTTGATGATTAAAACACCAAAACTATTTAAAATTGAATGAGGATTTCAAAAATGGGCTCAGAACGCGCGAATTATAGTGTTTTCACAAAGAAACCGGGCAAAAACAACTTCGCGCAAAAATCGAAAGAGTGAGGGCTCTTGTCCCGCAGCGCCCGCTGGCAATTTGCCAGAAATCAAAGAGCCCTCCTAAAAGGGCTTTGATTTGGCAGTTCGGAGCCCCTTTAAGTATCTATTATTTATTTCCGGAAGCTTTGCAGTACATAATTTATTTTCACATTGTTTATTATAGACTTAAATTTTCCAGCAAGAAAAATGCCGACCGGAAAAGGGAGTGATGCGCCGGCCTTGCCGCGTAGGCTTACTCCCGAGGCGAACCCGCAGCCAGAAGATACGCCTAGGTCCACCATCGAGGTATGACTTGGCACAGCTTCCAATGACTTCCAATAGACAATGACACCCAATGGTTTAGACCAGCGCCAAACACCGAGACGCCTATTCCGTTACAGCAGGAGATGTGCAGTTATTGGATAATATCTCGTCAACGACGCTCCTAGACATAGAGGAATTGGAAAACTTACCTAGTGAGTTTTATCAAGTGGGTGGATAACTCCTTGTCACAAATTTTTTAAATAGCTCTTTTAAGCCGCAGAAACCTTTTTTCAAGTTTTCCGACATGTTTGATACGTCGTTTGGTGCGTAATGGAATGAAGACGACTGCCGACTTATTAGATCTTTTAAAATTTACTATTTTCGACATTAAATTTAGGTTTTTATGAAAGGGCCTTTGTTAAGCAAATTTTTTTTTAGTTAATTTATTTTCACTTTTTTCAGCGTGGGTCGGGCCGAATTATGCAAAGTACAAACTTTAATTGGTCCAAAACCGGGCCTGGGTTGGTTTAAATTACATTATTTCGGGGCGAACTTAATTGCCTTAGTATATTTTTCGGCGCTCTATCCGATGGTATGCTTGAATTGGCACACCAGGTCTATATAGGGAAAAGATGGTTTCCACCCCGTTATTCTCCCCGGTAAGCCTCCTTTACCCAAATATCGTCTTAAACAAAAAAAAAATCGGCCGTGTCTGCCGTTGCGGAGCGCTTGCAAAAATTTGTGACAGGACTAATCTACCAACCTGATACTAGTAGGTTTTGTACTTTGCGCTTCCACTCCCCATTTTTCCAAGCCCTAATAAACTTCTAGAGCAGAAGCGGAACCTGTACGATGGTTGGGAAAATTGCGAGGCGACGGACGTGATGGAATGGCTGGGCGCCCTCCACCGTTTAAAATACGTTTCAAAGAAACTCGAGGAACAGAGTCTCGAAGCTGTATTTGGAGCTGCTAAATTCTTCGCTGGGGCCGGCCATATTTGTGAGGTAGATCATCATGGCTTTTCGGTGAAATACTTTTGAAGGTCCTGAGAAGCCTGCAGTACGTCGAGACATTGGATAAGTCTTTGGGCGGCGCGGCGTCCCGACGTCAATACGCAACAGTTGTCATCATCGTTCGCGTTGGCGGTGAGAAACAGCATTGCAAATTCCAAAGTCAGCACCACCTAAAAATATAATTTTGCAGACCGCTTCTTGCTCAACCTGGCGGATCTTGCGAGTTCATCACCCCTGAGTGACAAAGCAAAGTAGGTTTAATTCTTCTTTCCGATTCGCATACCATCAATACGGTATAAGCTTATAATAATGTCGGTTTACAGATGCCGAATTTATAGAATGCCGATTTACAGACTGCCGATTCTCATAAGGACGTTTTTGGCTATTATATTTCATCGCGATGAAAAAAATCAGCACCAGGTTTTGCTTCTTGATCATTATTGCTCAGGTTTTTCATAAAACATTCTGAAGTGTAGTAATCTTCCTGGGCAAAAAATGCGCTTATGTGGGACCCTTTGACCCACGTATATAGCGCCAAAATCCGCATCATAGGGATCGGAATTATATAAATCGGCGCTTGAGAATCGGCATAATGAGAATCGGCGTTTTGTAAATCGGTATTCTGTAAAATCAGTATTTTGAAAAACCGGCAGTTTGTAAAAAGTTATTATGAAAAAATCGGCATTATCTAGGTAATTCCGTCAATACCATCATTTTGTTCAGGAAGGGGCTAACCCTCGGGAAAAACTTCGAGATTGCAACTTCGAAAAAGAGCAATGCATCGCAAAAGAAGGAGGCATGTCGCTTGAATATGCGGAACATCTATTTCCCAGTTACAGGGCAAAAGGAAGCTGGAATATTGGGTGACTGAGGCATGGGTCGGAGTAGAGGACCGGCTTCCGGTCACCGTGGTACACGAAGTTGATCATGTCGATTACGATGGGAAGACATCGGTCAATGCAAAAACCGTTGTAAAAGAATCCGTTACGGCACTGAATCAAGTCAAGAATAATATCCGCTTTAGATGGGTAAGCTTTCCGGCCGTAATAGTGCGAGCATTTTCAGGCCCTACGTGCCTCACTGGTAGGTGGCAAATGTTTGGTCGGACTCTGCTCCGAAACAGAGGACGAACAAGATGATACGAAAGGATCGGCATCAAGTCGTGGGTCAATCAGCAGGCCTATAATTGGCGATTCTTAACGTTTTATCGGCACTTTAAAGGTTTCGAGAGAGATACTAAAAAACAAAGTCAACCTCTGAAAATGGGGTCAAAAAGCTAGTCTTCGACATTTTCTCCGTTTTTAGATATTTTGAAGACGCCATCCGATAGAGTATCGAAAAAATTATACCTAGTTTTTAATCACAGCTCAAAATAGCCTATTCTTAAAAAGGTAATCGCAAAAAGAAGTAGCCATCGCAAACGGCGACTCGCATGACAGTAATTTGATACGCTTTAGCGTCGAATGAAGCGATACGGATCCCCCAAGCCCAATTGCGCAAAGTGATGTTTTGCACTCCAGCTGAGCTGCTGAAAACGGTTATTTTTTTATCGTCCACTAAAATCGAATATTTCCGCTCCAGTGCCGCGGCTGGTACAACGTTGCGCACACGAATGGCGCGCACTTCTTCCGTAAATTGGAAGAGATTATGGTCGGGCGTGATTTCGTAAAGGTCACCATCAATGGCAACGAGTGGACAGCTGAAGAACTGGAGGTAGTCGCTAGAGGTTCGGAGAATTTTCAACTCTGGTTTTAGTGTCTGCGTGAGGTGGGGGAAGCCTTAACAAACGTTCCGAAGGCGCAAGTCGAGGATGAACGACTGTTGGGCGAGATACGCCCGAAGTGCTTAGGCTTAGCTCAGGTTAAGGGCAATCAGGTCGACTTGCCAACGACGTGGTCGATCCATGCGTCCCCCACGGAGATGGCCGAAGCCACACGAATTCAGGCTGCCACGTCACATGGAGAAACGTCACCTACGAAGCGGTCGAACCAGCAGTGAGGAGGAAATTGCCCTTGTATATTGATTCTGTACTTTGGTAATAAATTTTTTTAGTAAATTGTCGTGGTGAGAGGTGAACAAGTTGAACATTTTGGTCGCGTCGTGTCGCCACAAGTTCGCCGCGCGGCGTTCGGCCTGGGATGATCGTTTTTTAATCTTTCTGAATGCTTGCAAGGACATTCATAACCCTTACCTGTAAAATCTTCAATTATATTAACGTTTCAACATCAATTTGCTTTTATCTATTGAAAGTAACCCATTATCTGCCGGCAATTTTTTTTTTGCGTCACGCCTCAGGGCCGTCGAGTGATAAAGATTCGAAAGGGGCACGATTTAGTAGTCTACCTCGTTCGCTCCCTCTATCTCCGTCTCTCTCTCTCTCTCTCTCTCTCTCTCTCTCTCTCCCTCTCTCGCTCTCTCTCTCTGGCTCTCTGTCTCTCTGTCTCTCTCTCTATTTCTCTCTCTCTCTCTCTATTTTCCCCAAAGATCTCCGCTGGTCCGCCTAAAAGGTCAATTTTGGCCTACCGTAACCCTCCTCTCTTTTCCAGAGAACAACCTCTACGAAGGTTGGGAGGGCTACGAGCGCGACCCGACCAACGAGACGGGCGCCCTCCACCGTTTACGGTATGTGAGGGAGAAGCTCGTCACCGGGTCGCAGCTCCGGGACGTCTTCGGCCCGGCCGACGTCTTCTGCGGGGCTGGCGACTACAGCAAGGTACGTTTTTTGCGATTTTGCTTATCCTAAAGGCTCTAGAAAACTGCTCATGAAAGGCTCATGAAACTCTGTAATACAATAGAAATAGAAAACAATAGAAACTTCGGTGCTAATGCACTTGGGGGGGGGTTACGAGACGCTCCGGTTACGTTACTTGGTTTCGGCTTAAGCCTAGGCTGAACTTAGCTATAACTAAGCCTACCTTAGGCTTAGGCCAAGCTAATGCCTTAAATGCCTTAGCTTTAAATTGCCTCAGGAGGTCAAAATAGGGTAAAGCTTAGGCTGAAGCTGGGCTCAGACTTTGTTTGTATGAAGCTAAGCCTGGGCTTAGGCTTGGCTTAGATTTTCCAGAGGCTTCGAGTTTAAAAAACGGCATTTGGAGCGCCTCGTAGTAAAAATCCGGACTGCCCCCATCCCAGGCCTTGATCCCCTCAGGCTATGCCCACCCGCATCTGCATCTTCCCCGGTCCCAGCCAGGTCGCCCCGTGTAAAATTGTGAGTTCTCAATCGATTGATAATCGATACTTTTTAATATGTCTTCAAACGGCCATTTTTAAACAAATTTTACATTTCCAGAACGTCCTCAAATTGCCCAGCTCCGATCACGCGTTACGCGATGGTGCCTTCGTCGGAAAACTGGCGACCGCAGGTGAATTTTGATGTTATATCTTTATTCGGGATTTTTCGGGTTTAGTTAGCTAGTGATAGTATGTATTATAATGATATCGACTAGTTTATTAATACTTCATAGTTTTTAGGGAGCTAATGCACTTGGGGGGGGGGGCAGTCCGGATTTTGACTACAAGACGCTCCAAATGCCGTTTTTTAAACGCGAAGCCTCTGGAAAAGCCAAGCCAAGCCTCAGCCTAGGCTTAGCTTCATACAAACTAAGTCTAAGCTTAGCTTGAGCCAAGCTAAGCTTAGCTCTAAGCTTAGCCCTAAATGGCCCCAATTTGGCATCCTAAAGCGATTTAAAGCTCAAGTTAAGCTTAGCTTGGGTTTAAGCTTAAGCCTAAGCCTAAGCTAAGCTTAGTTAAAGCTAAGTAAAGCCTAGGCTTAAGCTAAAAAGCAAGTAGCTTAAGCGGAGCGTCTCGTAACCCCTTACTTCCAATTTTTGACTGCCCCCCTTAACTGCATTAGCATCGTTTTTAGTAGCGTCAGTGATTTTATTCGCTAGCAGGCTTAGTATATTTTAGTTATTTAGGTTTGTATTCATTAGTTGAAGGTTTTTAGCGTTTAGTTGTTTATTTATAGTGCCTCGTATATACCATTAATTATCTAGTTTGCTTTCATTTAGGCATAAACTATGGATTTTCAGGTCACGCGCCGCCACCGCTACCGCGTTCTAGAAGGCGAAGTGGAGGTGCTGAACGAGGACGAGCTATTGTCGCCTACAATCCGACCCGAGCAAGAGCTGGACAATCTGAAAGGCCAGTTTTCGAGGCTTTATGCTTATTATTGTGACCAAGTTTTAGGGATGAACCTACTCGACGGGTTGGACACGTTCGAAGCTGATACCAGCAACCAGATTGGCTGCCTCCACCGCCTCAATTTCATCCTCGAAAAACTCAAATCGGGCGCGCACATCGATGACATTTTCGGTTCGGCCCGGCTCTTCTGCGGCGCCGGCGACTTTTTCAATGTGGGTTGGGTGTAATCGACTTATGAGCATCGTTGTCTCTTTCTAAAGCGTTATTTTGGTCCGGTATTTCAGATTGGCAAGGCCATCAACCCGTACACGAACGATGTAAGCGAAATCATTGTCGTCCAAATCGCAGGTACAATATATTATTTTGGTGCTAATGCAGTTAGGGGGTTCCAAATTGTGTAAGGGTTACGAGGACGGCTCCGCTTAAGCTACTTGGTCTTTGGCTTAAGCCTAGGCTTAACTTAGGTTTAACTAAGCTTAGCTTAGGCTTAGACTTAAGCTTAAACCCAAGCTAAGCTTAACTTGAGCTTTAAATTGCTTTAGGAGTCATTTAGGGCTAGCTTTAGAGCTAAGCTTAGCTTGGGTCAAGCTAATCTTAGACTTGGTTTTTGGCTTAAGCCTAGGCTTAACTTAGGTTTAACTAAGCCTAACGGGGCTTAGTCTAAGGCTAGCCCAAGCTGCTTTTCTTGAGCTTCAAATTGATGACTTGCAGGTCAAAATGGGGATCATTTATGGCGTGGTAGGCGCGCGCAGGGAAAGGCGTAAAAAAGGGCAACTTGCAAGCTCAAGCTCAGGCTTGTCTGTTTGAAGCTAAGCTGGAGGCCAGGGCCAGCTTAGCTTTTCCAGAGGACTCCGAGTTTAAAAAAACGGCATTTGGAGCGTCTCGTAGTCAAATCCAGACTGCCCCCCCCCAAGTGCATTAGCACCCCGATTTTTTAGGTCGTCTTTTCGTGAACACCGTCGACAGGCTGGTTTGTCACGGGAAACGAAGAAGATGTATTGGCCGTAACCTGGAGGAGTACTTGTCGAGGGAAGCGAATTATACTTCAGAAAGCCCGGAAAAGAGCGCCCGGATCGGGGTAAGAAACTATTTCAAAACTTTTATCTTCAAACTCAGATACCCCCCAAGCCGACCCCACCTACCGTATCTCGGCTCCCTGTTCATCTACAGGTGTGTAAAGTATACCAAAATACTCGCCACAGCAAGACGAACATTTTGGTATACGTTACACACCTGTAGATGAACAGGGAGCCGAGATACACAAGTTGGATGCCGGCTGGGGGGGTTATCAGGAGTCTTACTATTTGTTTAGGCTCAGAGTGTCACGAAACACTTTTTGTACTATGTCGACGAGGTGAAGACGCAGCAGGGGCCGCCAATCCTGCTCGCCCACGAGATCGACCACGTCGGATATGATGGGCGGACTCCCATCGACGCCAAGGCCGTCTTTATTAGGGGATTCAACCCTAACAAGAATCTGGTCGATCAGCTTGATGGCTGGCGGTGCCACAATTGGGTGCGTCTCCTTGTGTGAATACAATCAATCCGTTTCTATGATCTCCAACATCTTGTACGGCGATTAATTTTTTTCCAGCCAATTCGTTACGGATTTTTGGGTACGATAATTTGCGCTGCCCAGCACACCACGGATGGGATCATCGAGAAGGTTGAGCGCATCGATCCCATGGAGTTGGTGAACGCGCAGCTTCCTCGGTCAGACAAGACAAGCAAAAGCAAGGTTGGCTTGGTTTTCTCAGGTCCTCGGGTCCACTCCGAATCCGGTCGGCATCTGCTCGCGAAATCGATCAGGGCATTCCTAAGGACGCGACCGTTCCCACGTGGAAATCGACCGGATTGCGGGTGGATGCAGGGTAAATCAGTTGGAAATCGACCGGATCCGCCCGGTTTCCACTCGATTTCCACTTGCCGCGTCGCGTACGGCACGCGTTGCGTCGTGTTTCCACTCGATTTCCTGTGCGTCCACCCGGAAATCCAGCCGATTTCCATGCGTTCCACCCCAAATCCAGGTGGAATACAACCGGATTTTGGGTGGAACCGAGGTCCTGAGTTATACATTTTCTACATGCTAAATGGAGGTATATGACTTGCGCCAATCGCTCTCGACGTGGAATGGGGCAGGGGGGTCTCCGTGCCCTCGATCCCCGTTGGCTATGTGCCAAAAAGTTGAACCCACTCCAGAGGGGCTGGTTAGACCTATGCTGTCTTTATCCCTTTAACCCCATTTAGGTGAAATGCACACAAATTGATCTAATAAGTCCTTCTTAGGCCTGGCGCACATACTGGAGAGCCCGAAGGGACGGCAACGATTTTTGCGAGTGGCTGGAGAAGATTTCGCCCGAACAGCCCGCCTTCTTTCGCGTCACCATCAATGGCTATCAACCAGGGCCCGTAACACCGATTGAAGTGAGTTTTTTTATTTAGAGTTTTTGGAATTTCCGAAGCGGCTTTATTAATGGATTTTTTTAGAATGTGGCCGAGGTGGCAGCAGCGATTTTGCCGGAAACCCCATGGGCAAGGGAGAAGCTTCAAGTGTTACTCAGCGAAATTCTGCAGCGCACCAACCAGAAACTGGCCAGCACCGAAACGTTTAAAGAGGTGCGTTTTGCACATATTTATTTATCACAATTTTTCAGGGTATCCCCGAAGTGGCGGCCGCACTTTTGCCGGAAAGCCCACTCGCGCAGGAGAAGCCGGAAGAGTTGCCCGAAGATGTTCTGGAGCCCACGAACCAGCAACCGCCCAGCGTCACCGTTAAGGAAAAGAAAGCCTCGGACATCACGTCGAAAGAGGTGAGTTTTTCAGATATTTCTTTACAACACTTTTACGAATTG